AGCCAACGCTTTGGTACTTAGCTTTGAATCCCGCAGGTTTATTACCCATRATGCACATACATATTACACATAATGCATAAGTAAATTACGATACAACACCAAGAAGACGATAATTTCGGGATACCAATACGACATACAAAGATAGTATCTACGAATAATTGAAAGAAAGAAACAAATATCATCAAAACTCATGAATCCACTGTTTGTTGGAATAATAACCGTACAACAATATGAGTCATGGTCATGAATAAGTATTTGAATATGATTTGCAGGGTTTCATATCGAACAGTTCTTTGAAGAAGGTAGTTAATTAGAAACGATTTGACATTAACCTGAGCTATTTTACRAATCCCAGTATACAGTGTATGTAATATGACTTAGACAAGAGAATATTTTCGAGTCATTTTAGATTTTTGRAAAAACGTGTCATGKMWAMCAGCAGAWTAGAYGTCAAAATACTAGYTTATTTGCATATTAGTTRTGAATTGCTTGCCAGTGTTCTAATCAACAGAACAAAATCCAACCAAAGATTTGGGTACTCTAGGACCGACTAAGAGTTATCAACGGTTCGCTGAAGTGTTGTCATTCGTTTAGCTCAGTTGGTAAGAGCGTCAATCTGTTGTGCGGGAGGTCGTTCGTTGAAATAGTTAAAATAACAGAGGAGAAGGTGTTGCCATAATCATAATCTATTGCTTTGATAGTTAGAAAAAGCGTGCGCTTTACAATACCGTCTGATTTATTGATTAACGGTTCAAGTAATGTTCTATTGCTTTCATATTTAGAACAGGGAAATACCGGCTGATCTGATAAGAATTTGTCCAAATTGGTCGATAATTTATCGAGCAGGTACGATGTGGAATTTGGTGAGAATCAGAAGGCYACAGCGAGCTTTGTTGGTAACTGCATTCCTTTCTTTCCTCGTCTTTCTTTACGGACAAATGGGCATTCATTCTAGCAACAAAAACCAAAATTGGAATACTGTGCTAGACCATAAAAGACATCTAAATAAAGGAGGTTTCTCGCAGAAGAAATATAAACATKCTGAGGATGCTGGAGTACCACATGGAAAGGTTAACATGGATATTTGGAGAGATATGTGTACGTTGAGTTTTAACAGCTTGAGACAGCATCCTTTCTTTCCTTGTCATCCAACGGTTCACTCGTACTTGGAGATTGCAGACGCATTGAAGATTATTGTGGAAGGGAGTTCGTTTGGATTAAGAGTCATGGGATATCTCCATCCTCCTGTATCTGGATATTATTCTTTTTATTTGGATTCTTACTTCATGGCCCAGTTTTGGCTTAGCACAAACGGCCCAGACAACGCTACTAAACTAGCCTACACCACACGCAACAAGATCGGTGAATTAGTTCACTTCGTTGGAAACTCTTCCTTGCACAAATCTAAAAGGATATTCCTTAAACATGACAAGAAATACTATTTTGAGATTTTAAAGGTTTTGAATRGAGGAATTGGTTATGGGAGAGATGTTTTTAAGACACGGCTCGAATGGATGCTACCAGGAGAACCCTTCTTCACTAATATTGATGGCAGATATCTCTCTCATTACTTCAATGTGTCTGGGAATGACTCGCAATGCACTCATTTTGATAATTCTTCACCAAGTCTTCTAATTTCTGATGAAGAAGACCAAGTCGTTGGGCTATCTTTTCCGCCCGAACRTAACACCAAGTCACTTCAATATAAGCAATTTAACAGGCAAAATGTACGAGGACTTTCTTATATAGAAAGAAATTATTCGTTGGTAGCTTTTCCAACATGTAAATATGAGCCAAGTCATATGAAAAGGAGGAAATATAAACGATATTCTGGCGTTTATACCGTTTTTTATCCAAAGATTTATCCTGATGATGGAACTGGAAGCGTGAGATATACAAATTTGGAGAAGAAGACGTTTGATGGGGATGARCATTTCAATGGAGCAGCACTTATGGACAAGACAGAAGCCGAGTCTGTAGTAACATCATTCATGGGTGGATATGAAAAAGTATTTCCAGGGTAAGCTYTTCGAATGTGTTCTGTTTGCGAAGAGAAAGGGATCCCCGAGCCCCAGCATAAGCACTTTGTCTTTGATGCAATTTTTACAATCATTCATTAGAGCGTTTGTTTTTCTGCACGCAGATACTGCTCGCGCTCTACGCTGATTGCTCATGTTTTCTTGTTTTGTGTTTTGCGTTTTGTTTTCAAAAGAGGGAGTGAGCAAACAGCTTAAGGAGCGCGCAGAGAYTCTTTCTATTACTTCTCTCAGCATCCACTTAGTGTTTATAAAACTGAAAACTGTTCAGCGTATAAATTGGAGACAGCATGGTCGAGTGGTCATAGCGTCGGTCTCGCAACCCGGTGTGGCCACTGACTGAGACTGTACTTGTCCTGATTTCTGATTAGTTCAGATTCAGTTTCTCGACCATGCTTGTAAATAGCCAACTGGTTTGCCTCCTTGCCAGTTGGGATTCTTAACATACTTTATGTTTATTTGATCATTTGTTTGGGTTTATTATTCGGTTTATAGTGGAAACTACTGGGCTATCAGTAATGTATGTCACCCTCGTTAATTAAAAATCTTTTCCTTGTGTCTGCGGGAAAAAAATAAATTTAACAAAGCGAAAGAACTCAGTCGTAGTATTTCGGAAAAGAATTGTTTACAGTAATCATAAAATGTACATCGTTTCCTAGGACCTTCAAACTGGTCGATATTGTTCACATAGAAAGTGTTCACGATAACAAAAGAGGAGACCGGTTCCTTCTCGACCTGGTTCTCAAACGCCACCAAGATAATAAACTACTACGAGTCTCTGAATTCATGTTCCGAAATAAAAGCCAACATGACCTTTGTATTCTTAAAGATCTCAGCTGGAATCCTAAGGTGTGGATTAACATCGTTCTTAACGCCAAGAATCAAGCAGTATGAGTGTTGCATTTTATCAAGGATGTTTCACGTGTGATAAAGGAGACAAGAGACAAGTATATCAATGTTATTATTGTTGATTATGGTAATGAAGGACTTGATATTGGTCATGAAATGCAACGGTAAGTTATAGAGCAGTTTGTGAAAAGCTCGCTGCACACAAACGCGAATGTACACGGCAAGGGATACGTCAGACCCATCACATTGGACGAGAAGTTACTACTCTTCCTAGTAGAACGTAGTCTATGGCGTTCCATCCCCACAGCCGCTTTCAGTGTCGTCACGCAACGCTTTCTCCCCTGACTAGCGGCTGCTTACCCGAGCACAACATTCCTTTCCTATTGTTTGTGTTCAACCAATCAGATAAGTGTCATTGTGTTTTAAGAACTAATCAAAACGTTTCGAATTTGATAACTTGTAAACATTCGCGAGAGAAATATTTCTAAGACGCATTTGAGTGGAAGTTGGAGAAAATCTGTGGGAAATTAAAATTGAATTCGTTCTTGTTGAATGTTTGATGCCCCCCCCCCCCAAATTATTAGAGACGGAACTAAGTGTTTTCTTTGTTCATAAATGAAAGAAAATATTTATATCTTTATAAGTTTAGCTATTGACATTGTTTTATCGGCCGATAGTGAATTCGAGTTTGTACTTGCTAACGAGCTCGTACCAAAATATTAGAAGCAAAGAGAAACTGGAAAACTTTTTTAAAGAGCGTAATTTAGACTCATGGAAGTTAAACGAGACGACTCAAGATTTAAGAGATTGAATTCAAACATAAAGTCTGACAGTATTTTTAATAAACGAAGAAGATGAGCCGCGCAGATCACTTATTTTAAACAACGAATGCAGTGTAATCGCAAAAAGGCTAGATAACTTTTAAATCTGACACTGTCACACCGTTGACTTCCACGGGTATTCATTGTAAACTTCTGGGTAACGCTCACAGTTCTGKTATTTACTTCGCGTATACTGAGAGGATTAGCTCAATTTGATACTGTTAGAAGAGTTGTTTTGTTTTGTTCACACTGTTAGAAAAGTCGTGCAAAGTGAACACGAATCGTTAGCTAAAGCGTTATCTTATGGCCAACCTTCTAACGTCGCGTTAGCAGTTTATATGAAATGTCAAGAACTTCGAACTCCTGTTATTCAAAAAAAACTCTAGCTTGTCTCGAAAGAAATTACTGGGCTATGCTCTAGAGCGCCAATATTTTATTCTTTTGAACGATTTCCCATATCCAGTAGGCAGATTTTCAAAGAAATCTTTTTTTTCTTGTAAAATCTTTCGTATAGCGTTCTTCTGGTGATCATTAAGGCTGTTTGATGCGAAATTTCTTAGCTGCTATCTCGAAGCCTTTCTCTAACGACGCATCTTGTTTTCCATATGGCGCGAATGGTTCCTGGTTTTCGAGAACTAAGCCGTTATTGGTTAATTCATAGGAAAGGAATAGTGTGCTCGGGTAAGCAGCCGCTAGTCAGGGGAGAAAGCGTTGCGTGACGACACTGAAAGCGGCTGTGGGGGAGACTAAGTAGAACGATGCAGTTGTGATTTTTTATCGCTTTCTTAGCGTCTGTTATGTTCGCCTCAAGTGCACCATTTCAGATCTTCCACGTTGTGCCAATATTGTGCAACGTGCACACGATTTTCACACCCCGTCCCCCGTGAGTAAAACTTGACTGAACTTCGGTCACGTGGTGTAAAAAACCTGTCCACGTGGTTATAGCAAATAGCCCACTTCCGAAATATGCTTTGCTTGTCACGCACACGCAGGATTCAATGCAAGGCTTCGTGCATAATGCTCAGTGATTCGTGACAGGAAAAAAGACTAATTTCATTTAGCAGGTAGCCTAGTGTTAAAAGTGGACTAATGTTCCCAATATTTAATTTGGGTTTGTAGGTCTTTCAATAAGACCCATCCGCTGAGACACAGCAAGGGAGCACGACAGACATAAATTTGTTGATTGGTCTGCCTGTGGTATATAATTTAATTGATTGCTCTTCCTGTGGTATGGACGTGCACCGGTTTTTTAAAAAGAAGAGATAACTAGCGAAAAACTAGTGTGAACTGCATCGGTGTTTCTAATGAAACAGTAATGATAAAAGGGTAATTTATTTAGATTGTTTGTTTTTGTTTCCTTGCCTACCTTGTCCTCATTGTTTTTGTTTTTGTTTTTTTGTTTTTTTTGTTTTTTTTGTTTGTCTTATTCTATCATATATACACTCCTTTCTACCACCTCTTTCTCTTTTACTCCGACGAAGGACTAGCGTCCGAAACGTCAGTAAGTTTTTTCATCTTTTCACGGTGTATAATTTACCCTTTTATCATTACGATTTCTTAAAAGTCGCGCGGGCTCATAAGTAAACAAATATTACGAATGATAGATATAAATGACACAATATTATGTACGCCGCCATCTTTGATAATATTTACTTGAGCCCGCGCTATTTTTCGCGGATAACCGTATTGGTCTGCATACGCCATTACCACAGGAAGACCAATCAACAAATTTATGTCTGCCGTGCTCCCTTGGAGACGGTGAAGGTTTTCGTAAATATCTTTAGAGCAAAGGCAGCACTTTCTCCTTAGTCTTTTTATTGATCTATCACATGTGACTAAAGTATTTGACGTTAGATGGAATTGAATTTAGAAGTTGACCCAGCGAAAAACCCTCGAAGCACAGGCGGAGAGAACCAACAAGCAACTTTACTCACATATAGTCATGGCAACACTAGAGAAAAACGTTTGTGCATGCGTACATTTCAGCACGTTTTCTAAGAATTTTGAAGAGTTTGAGTGAGAAAATAAATGTTTGTTATCTTCAAGTATACAAAAAAGTTCAAGAGTATACTTTTGTCAGACCAAGATACTGTATTAACAAACACAATATGAAAGAATTAGCCTTAAGTTTCAAGCATGGACACTAAGTTTTGGCATTTTGTCAAGTCCAATTTACTTATGTTTTGACTAATTTGCATACGGATTCAGAGCATGCGCAGACATTTTTCACTCGTGTCGTCATGGATGGTACAGAAATATCGAGCTCATGACCAAGTGGTGTTCGTTACACCCACACCACCCTTGCTTATATTACCAAGTTTAAAAAGAGTATTTCTAAATTTCAGATATGATATAAAGAATTATGAAGTTATCAATCGAACTGGAGTATTTCACAAGACAGCTTCAATCAATCTTGCTGCCATTAGGGTCAGAGATCCAAATGGTATTGTTCTCTTGATGGACCTCCATTTACAGCTCAGCCCAGATATCTTTGACAAGATAAGAAAGGTGAGTCTAGATAGTATTTACTCATATTTTACAAGGCACGTTTCAGAACCAGCATTGGTAAAAAACAACATCAGCTTTAGGAATCGATTATTGGCAGCAAATTCCAAAAGAAATCAAAGACCTTAGTTCCTTCGCTTTCAAAAAAAACTTAAGCAGCACCTATTACTGAAGCAGTTTTATGTACCATCTAATACATGACCGGGTTGACAGTTGTTGTAATCGTTGCTTGTCGACTGTTTGTATATTATCTAATCTCTTTTTTTCGTGTTTGTTGCCTACATCAAATTGACACAAAATATGACTAGGGTCTAACTAGGAAACTATACGGTTTATTTAGGCTCCATACATGTCCAGAGTACACGAACTGATACGGATGGTAAAAGCTGGTTTACCATCGGTACAGTTGGTGAAAGTAATTAATATGCAAGATTCACGAATTCAATATCAAAGTCATCAAAATTCAGCACGCGTCAATCAGTTCAATTGGTCACCCTTTGGTAAAGCTTGCGTGTTCATATTATAAGTTGTCACCCTTTGGTAAACATAAATATTCATAAGACACCAAATCTTACACCCCCCCTGTTTCAGGGCTTACCATTGGTACCGTTGGTACAGTTGGTACCGTTGGTGGTACCGTTTTCAAATCACGAAGACACATATATACATCGAACACAACTAATACACGAGAAAATATACGATAGGCATTTCCTTTCATTACAACTTAAATTTAGCTTTATTTATTTGACCAAATATGTATTCTTTCTTTTCAATGATCTAAATATATAATTTAATGTAGTGTAACATAAAAGGAAATGTGAATAAAGATGTATGTATTGTATATTGTGTATTATTTTAACCGATTTTAATTAGATCTGACCAACAAACGCTAACCAACCACCTAACTAAACTACCATGTACCCACCCAACCATCCAACCACCGCCCGACCACCATACCATCCTACCATCAACTAACCACTCCTCCACCCCTCCACCCCTCCACCCATCCATCCAAACCACTGTAGCACCCAATTAATCAACCACCCAACCCTGCACATAGCCAGCCTCAAATCTTTCCTTCAGGTCAAAATTAAATAATTGTATAACAAACATCATGGTGTATAGAACCGTAAGGTAATACATTAGTACCCTGAATAACCGTTTCCTGTTTAAAGTTGTTTTTTTTTAATTCTTTCTAGCACACATTTCAAGGGATACTGGCTTTCGCTCCTATTTTATTCAGGCTGCATTCCTGTGGTAGACCAAGAACCAAGCATGTTTGCCTTAGTGGATATTGGGAATCACTTGGATTTGGGATTTTTGGTAGGCAATATAATTCTTTGAATGATGAAATGCAAAAAGCAAATTAGATTTTTTTAAATATTGGACGTGAAGTTGTTGCTCTTCACTACAATCTTTTTAGCTCTCGGCCTTTTTTAACCTCTTGCTCATCGTCTGCCTGCTTGTTTGCTCGTTCCTATCCTATTTTTTAATTATTTTTCGTTTTTGACAGCCATATACAAGTCAGACTGGGACAACTTCGGAGGAATGAACGTTAAAGAATTCACTAACAAGTGGGGAGGAGAAGATTGGGAAATGGTAGACAGAGTCCTATCCAGTGGCATCGAGATCGACAAGCAACGAGTTCCAGGGTTTTATCATTTCTATCACGATAAAAAAGGAATGTGGAATAATTAGAGAACTCCATTTTTTATTGGACGAGAACATGTATACGTCACGTGAACGAGAGTAAAACTTTCCTCTAGTTTCTCTAGAAGGGAGAAAATGTGTGAGATCATCACATCTTCACATTTTGTTCAGAAGATAACTTAATATTCCTGACTGAAATAAAAATCATAGTATCATCGACAGTATGGGGATTCCGAAAAGATCGTTTGGAAATAAAACCAAAAGGGATGGACCAAGTCTTGAACTCGGAGGAACGCCCGTAAGGATAGACTGAGACAGAAGTTTGAGAGCGTTTACGCATTAGAATAACAAAACCGATGAACGAAAAAGAGGAGAAGTTCTGAGAAAATCGATCAGAAATAAAACACAACTGAGGGATGGACCAAGTATTGACCTTTGAGGAACACCCGCGATGGGAATACTGACACAAAAGTTTGAGATCGTCATACTAAAGAAGAGCATTGATGAACTAGAAGGAAAAGGACCGAGCAGTCGAACTGTTTTTTACTGTTTTTTACGTGTTTTTCACTGTTTTTTACTTTTACTTTTTTTTATTTTTTGCCCGTATATCATCCATATGTCTTTTATAAATGTGTAGAATTATTTGTATGAATTATTCTTCGATTGCACGTTACGTCATCGCGGCCATGTTGGTGCCATTTAACGAAAGATTTCTCATTAGCATCCATTGTTAACTGCACCACAATGGCCGCCATGCTTTTGTCTTTTGACTCTCTTGGGAATGCTTGCAACCCATCAATATGAATTTCTCATCGTGCTGTGATTGGTCGAGCGACCGGTGACTCTGAGACGATAACTATTGCTCTTTTTCCCAAAGGCAGAGCGGAAATTTTACAAAAAGGTTTTAAAATTAATCCCGAATTTCATCTTATCTCTGATATTCATATCTAAGATTATGTTTATTCCCCTCAGGCTCACTGATGCGGTAAACATCTCACCAATAATCACTTCGCCTTAAATAATAAATAATTGTTAATAAATATCCGCATATTATCCATATATCATACAAGGTTTCTATTTTAATTTTAAAATTTTGATTCTCATTTCTCGAGGCATAAGTTCTCTATAATACACCTATTTCAACGTCAGTGTCATCGCCAAAATGGAAACGGTTTCGTTGAATACAAAGAACATGGAATCAGTCTCAACGCTAGGGTCCATGTTCTTGACGAGAATAAGAAACAGAAACACAAGTCATTCCAGTTATTCTTGGATCTTGGAATGGCCTATCTCCTATCGCCTGTTGCCTATCGCCTGTTGCCTATCGCCTGTTGCCTATCGCCTGTTGCCTATCGCCTGTTGCCTATCGCCTGTTGCCTATCGCCTG